GTCAAGGGCATGTACCTTGGTTGTGGGCACATCCCCAGTGGGGAGTGTGCAGGAGGCAGCTGATCGATGTTTCTCTCTCATCGATGTTTCTGACTCTTTATCTCTCTCCTTTCCTCTCTGTAAAAACTCAATAAAATATATTTTTAAAAAATGGCATTTTCCAACTCTGTCCTCACCAAAGACCACCGCCCCCCCTTAATATGACTCTAACCAGCTTTGAAAGGTTATGTCTATAAAATAAATAGCATTTATTAGGTCACAATTCATTTGTGTTCTCATATATTATTCATCAAAGGCATATGCTACTGCCAGTGTTTCTGAGCAGTATGAGATAACCAAGGTTGCTTTATCTCCTGCCAAAAATAAACTGACCTTTTAGATATCCTGTGCAGCCTTGTGGTGGGCAATGTTATGTGATCTCTATTAAGCCTTTTGAAATATTCACAACAGCCCCAGGACTCCCACCATCCGCTCCTGCCCAAACCACTCTTTTTAGAGCCATGGGAGATAAACCCGAGTCTAGGGGCTTCACCCGACTTTTCTTCCTTCATCAACCACTTGCTGTGTCATCAGAACTTCAGAAAAATATATGAATTGTTAATATGATGAAAGTAATAACATGTAAAGCACTGATTGCCAATCTATGGTTTTGAAATAACTCGGAATATCACTAATCGTTAGCCCAAAAGATAGCCCCTAAAAACCATGAAAAAAATTAATTCTCTAAAAGAAACCTGTAACCAGCACTTTTTTTCCCCTAAGGTTGTATGGAATTTCAAATAAACACTAACCAGGTTTAACAACTCAAAAAGTCTGAGATACCAGACCTTCAGACAAGAAAGTAAGAAACTGAAAATGAAACACTCCAAGCTATTTGAAAAGTTAGTCAAAAAGGAAAACCCTGTACAAATTAGATAGATCAATGCTATCAAATATGACGGCTTGGCATGTCTGAATCCAAAAACATCTCAAAGTCAGATCCCAAGGTGAATAAAATGATGGATTCATAGACTGTTGAAATGTCACCTTGCACCCAGTTCTCAATGATCTTAACAAAAGGGAAGAGATGTCAACAAATTAATGCATGAAAAAGGAGGATAGAGGACACAATTACTGATTTCAAATATAATTTTTCTTTTAGTTGTTTTTCTTAAGAATAAAAGTTGCTATCAAATGTGCATGTCACCCTTATGCAGGGGCCCCAGCAGGGACTCTCAGAATTACTTCCATTTTAGCACCTGGGCTGCTACACCTTTTAAGTTTACTGCCTTGTCAAAACACGCCCAAAGTCATCTCTCAACTGAAAACAATGTACCTATTCGTTGATCTCATTTTGAGGAAGGACTAGGAGAAGAAATGCACACTTAATTCCCAAGTAGCCATTTAATTCCCACGTAGCCATTAACTACATGAACTTCTTTAGATTTAAGTTCTTTGGGCCTCAGTTTCTAAAATGAGTTTGCTCAATGAAATTTAACAAACATATATTATTCTGAATGGTTTTTGTTGTCAAAAACCATACCCCTTGCTCTAAATTCTGGCATCTCTAAATTCTGTGACTATTATGGCTGACTTTTCCACTATTGGGTTTATGAAGAATGTAATTAGGTGGTTCTAAATTTGATTTTAAGAAATGATCTACATGTTCAATCAAGTGTATCAGACCCACTTGGCATGGGGTCCATCACCAGGAAATGGTGCTGTGGTGGCCGATCCCATTTGAACCCTGACACATGTAGTCAGTGCTGTTATACTGAACTCCGTGAGACAAAGTGCTTTGTTAATTTTCATTTTTGCTCTCCCTAAGGCATACCAATAGCAGATCAAGCTTATATAAAGTAATTATCACAATGCTACAGGCTGTCATTAGAAGAAAAATATGCCTTAAAAATACATTATTTCCACTGTATGGTAACACTGTATAGCACTTTACTATCTTCAAAGATATTTCACACTTATTAGATAAGGTTTATCTCAGGTATGGAAAGCTGAGAGAACATGAAACAAACCAAAGCTCAAGGTAAACTTTGTTTCTTCTGAAATTTAACTCCTTACTAGAGAAACAGCGTGGTCTACATAATTAGCAATCTAATCGCTGCCAAATTTAAGTCAAAACAATATTAGCAATATTTTAAGAAATGGAAACTACTAACAACAAATCATACTTTTCTTCCATTAAACTTAATTCTTAACAATTACTGTATAACTTTGTTTTTTCTCTCTACTACAGTAAGAATTATACTTTCCTTGCAACTGCAAAGAAATTTTGTTGACATAAATTATACTAGTAGAAATCACAACATCCCCAAGTCCATGAGCTTTTAAACAAAACAAAATGCATGCGTCAGATGTCTGAAGCAAGTAAGTGGTAAGACAGGCTTTGAATCCACTGGCAGACTGGGCTCTTTCCTCACCCACATTTCCACATCTTATCCTATGTTCTAATGATTGTGTGCATTTCAACCCATTGGCTAAGAATATTTGAAATGAAGGGCAACATGGATGAACCTAGATGTTATTGTGGAAGTGAAATAAATCAGCCAGAGAAAGACAAATAACATATGATTTCACTTATGTGTGGAATCTAAAACACACACACACACACACACACACACACACGCAAATGAATAAAGAAAATGAAACAGACCCACAGACACAGATATAAGGCTGATGGTTGCAAAGGGGTGGGGGTAGAGGGCTGGTTGAAAAGGAAAACAAACAAAAACTTTCGGAGCATATATCTAGACTTTAAAATATACTTGCTGAATGTTACTGAATGTTTCAGTAACTGATTAGGGCTCAAAAAAGTGAGGAGTCAAGGAGATTTAAAAGATAAACTACACTTGATCAAAATGCATAAAGTCAGCAAAAAGTTTAATTATAACTCAGTTCCCATTTTATCATGAAAAAGTATATGACCAAATCTTTTCATTACGGAAAATGTTATAGTCCTAGGAACCAAGGAAATCATCTGTAGAATAGGATTCTCTATCTATTCAATAGAATTCCCTACAACCAGAATAATTTTAGATTATTCATAGGGAATCAACTGTTATATAAAGAATGCTTATTTTGTTGCAAAGGGAGTTTACCATGTTGTGACAAACCACTTTCAAACAGCATAAGAAGGTCAGCTTTTATTAGCCGCAATAGTGACTGTGAAATGGTTACCTGAATGGTGAACAAAACCTCAGAAAGTCTTCTCCACAACTTTTTCTGTCCAAGCTCAAAAAATAAAGTGACACAATGTAAGTTTCTGAAGCTTTATTCTGTTTGTGTTACATACATTTCACAAACAGAAACCTTCTACCATCACACACAATTCCATAACCAAATGTTTCAATTTTGTCAACATTCTTGAACTATTTACACTGTCTTCCCTTCACAAAAGTGCAATCCAAGACATCTTGACAAGAAATCTTTAATGACAAGAATACATTTTTAGCTGGTTTTAAAGATGCCCATCCATTATGTTTTCTTTCTATTACCTGGAAGGGTAATAAAGTCAACAGGACATGGAGATGAGCTGAGTTAGGCAGCATCAGGTTATAGGAACCAAAACAACGAACAAAAGCACTCAAAAATTAAAATAAAGACTGGAGAAAGCTCTTTCTTAATTAGAATGGAATAACTGACCTAACTCCCCACTTTCATGCCAATATCTCTTTTCAGGTATAAACCCAGTATATTAAGTGCTGCAGATGCAACTATAAGAAAGTGGAGAACTGAGCTGGTCTGAAGAGAATGATGAGACCATCAGAAATAGTTTCCTCACTAAACTAAACTAGGTAACTGTATTTGTTCAAGGTGTATAACTCTTAAAAATAAGTGATAAAAAAGTTAGAGCAGATAACAAATTGCTTTGAAATTATAAGTCACTATGAGTGATTCAGACTATTGAGCACTATTCATCAGAAAAACAGAAGATGGATCTCCTGGGTGACTAGTACCTTTTAATATCCAAACCACAACAAAAATAATCACCTTTTTTGACATATTCCAATTTCCATCAAGGTACTCAGAGCAAAGTAGTTTGAGAAAACATGGGGAAAATATTAAGGTCAGCAGGTTTCCAAAATAAGTTTTATTCTGTATATTGTATAATCTATTATATTTTATTCTCAAATCAACCAAATTTTCCATTTTAGACAGGAATGCAATGCCTTGAAGGCCAAAGATATCCTCAGATATGATACCTATCTATGCCTCTCCTTTTGTGTAACTGCAGCATCCATAGGATCCTTTTTCATCAAAACAAAGGTCAAAAGCAAGTTTTACCTAATTATGTCATACTTATTTTTTAGGAAGTAGAAAGTGGTATAAGGAGAAAATACTGAATGCAGTAGACACTATGCTCAGAGCAGTTTTAGACCGAGGAACTTGCTAAATGGAATCTATACATAAACTTTAAGTTTGAGAATAATACTAGCAGGTTTCTCTACAAAAATTTAGGTGGGTTAAAGAACAGCATTACAAATACTTTACTATTCATTTTAAATTCAGAGGTAAAAGCCAAATGGTGCTCAAAAGACAAGAGAAACTTTTGTGTTGGGTATATGAGAGAATCAACAGGGAAACAGTTAACCCACAATTATAGTTCTGTGTATTACAGACAAATTTGCAAAGGTTATGTTGCAAAATAGACCTGTTGCAGTTGCATCAAATACTGTCAGACCAATGACGATTTTCTGCTTCTTACTGGCATTGAGCAGTTCCCCCACTGTGAAACACTTTTCAGATCATCAAACACCAAACCAGATGCGGTAAGCTGAATTACAATCATCCAAACTGAAAGATGAAGACTATTAACATGTGGGTTCTTTTTAAGGCTGTGTTGTTTCAAACAAAACATCAATGTTCCATGTAGAACTGAAGCTCACTTGCAATAATGCCTGAACACTTCTGAGAGGAAAAACAACTGTTTATCTGAGGGGAGAAAATGGTATAAACCAAGTGAGTAATACAAATGCTCACATAACTCCCATAAAATAATTTTATTTTAAGCTTTCAATTAGCATATATATATTTGAAATTATCAAATTGATTTTTGTGCAATATTCCAATCCTATAAGGGTGTAGGATGTATGTCTAATTAAATCACCAATATCTAATAAGCAGAAAGCTGTATGTTGAAAGACCAATGCTCTGACAAAATAAAGACATAAGTATCATCTTTTTTTTCACCAATGGTACAGTATCATAGAGATCTTCCAAATGATCTACTTTCAAACATATTGTTATACCTTAAATTCAGTGATTTTTCCAAAATGAAATACACTTAAAACAGAAATATTAAAATTATTCTTTTCCTCATACCCTCACAAATAATGTTTTCCTTTCCTCCCTAAGGCCAAATTTTTTATTTTAGAAACTCAGCATTAAAGGGGTAAAACATTGCTGTCAGCAATTTTGGGGAAGAGAAGTGTGGCCATGAGTGGTTCCCAAACTCACCAGTGAGGTCTGTGGCTGAGATTTACCTGTGAGAAGGGTCTGACATGAAGTGGCATTTCGACAGTGCAACCTGCATATATCAGGGCTGCCCAAATCATGTTATTATTCATGGATTCTCCTTGGGAGCTAATGTGACCAAATTCAAATCACAGTGTTCTACCTTTCTGTCCTCTTAAATCCATGTGCATCAAATTCACTTAGTATATTCTCTCTGCTATAGGTCAGCTTCCCGAAAAATATGTGCAATACCAATAGCTCTCATATGTCTCATAATTTGGATATTATCTTCAGTATGAAAACTGACTAAGAAACTAGAAGAGTGATGGAAATAGCCCTCATGTTAACTTTCAAATAAACTGTCAGTGAGTGTAAACTGCACGTCAAAGTGCGCTGCAGAAGTGAAACAAGATGGGCTGACACACCATCAGCTCCAGGCACAGAGTTACATTCACCTGTCACAAGTCTTCCCACGGCCCAGAGAAGATCTAAAGCGGGTCTTGAAATGGTTGACTTTGAGTAAGAAGAGTGTGCTCCCAAATCCTACCAAACTCTTTGTTTAGAACCACATAATTCCTTTCTTAAACTCCGCCCATCCTCCCCACCACCTTAAACGCTGCAAGAGAGACTCTTTGTGATAGGGAACCAATACGCCAACTCACAGGACTGCCCACTGGGCTCTGGCCAGGACCACAGACCAACACTTGGGAGTCAGGGGAGGGCCGGGGCAGCCCATTTCAGTGACCACGTACACAAAGGAACTTTTCCTTTAAGTTAGAAAAGAAATTAACATCACAGAATGTTTCCCTAGAAAAGATATGTAACAAAGTAATAGTATCGATAAAATAGCTATTACCAAAACAAAGCTTTCATCAATAAGCTTCCAGAACTTTAAAGGAGGAAAATGGCTTCACAAAATGGTAGTCCAGGTTGCCACAGTGTGGACACTGCTGGACGTTGCTGTACTCGGAGAAGTACTGCATCCCGATCCGCACGTCGATCACTGGCTTCCCGCAGTGCTTACAGTTCAGCCGGGCCTGGGGAGAAACACAGGCACATGAGGGGCCACACCCTTCTGCCTCCCGAACCTGCCCAAGTCTCTGACCCCAAAGGCAAGACTGTTACAGCCACGAAACTGACCCAAAGTACAGTACTGTATCGTTTCTATTCCCGAAAACAGGGTAGGCAAAGCATGAAATAAGCAGAAGACATACGTGTACTCAGGTATTCATTAGTCTGAAACATTAACTCTGATTTCTCTCCCCATATGTAGCACCGCTACAAGAAAATGTAAATTTGTACCGCCAGAAATTTCTCCAGTAAAGTCTCCAACAAACGTGCCTTCTTCCTCCGAGATTTCCAAGAGTGGCTGAGGCTGACTTACCCCACCCAAAACTGCATAAACTTCTTTGAAGATTCTAAGTTTATTTTTAAAATTCATGTACATGTGTCACTCTACTCCTAACTATATTTGTACTTTCTTTGTATGAAAATAAAATTTCCCTAAAATGCTAAAGTAAAAGAAACAATCCAGGAAGCAGTGCTGTATTTATCCGGAGGCTTCCAGAACCCACCAGCACAGTGTATCTTCATTCACGCCCAGGCCTCTCTAAAGGCATACAGTGGGGCCTTGACTTAGGAGTGTCCCGACTAATAAGCTTTTTGAGATTCCAGCTGTCTCTCTGGCAGATTTTTTGCATTGAGTTGATAGAGTAATTTGAGTTAACGAGCTCCTTAACCAGCTCGGTCTCGGAAGGAATTAAACTCGTAAATCAAGGCCCCACTGTACTAGAGGTTTTCACCAACAGGCCTTAAGTGAATAACCAGAAATGATAAGTACAACAGGCTCTCAACTCAGATTCATTCCAAAAGTGTAATAGAAAAGTATAACCTCATTTTGTCCCTGAAACACTGCCGGTGAGGTGGGTAGAATTGTGAATTTTTAGATGAAACTGAGGCACGCAGGGGTAAAGTGGCACGCCCAAGACCACACAGGAAGCAGAAAGGCTGAGATTTGAACCCAAGCAGCTTAAATCCAGTCCACGCTCCAAGCCACTACATGGACTACCTTTCTCTAACCTGAGAAAGCCTCCCTTTTAACTGACTGACAGTAAAGGTGAGAGATTCTGAGCACACATCTTTCTTTAACTTGTTTATTCCTTTCTAATAACTAATCATTGCTTATGTTTGGCTCAAAGTTTGGAACACTTTCCTTGATTCCTTAGTCATGTCTAACACTTATACCTTCACAGTGACCACAGTTACTTGGGTTTTTTAAAGCCAAACAGCAATCAAACGTGTTTTCCATTTCAGTAGGGAGGGAGGCGGAAAATAAAAGTCTGGGCTTAAATTGTTTTAAGGGAGAAAGATACAATAAGTCCAACAGGCTGGGTGTGCAGAAGGCCATTCTGCTTTTCTCCAAGGTAAGGAAACAACCCAATTGCCTGTCAGTGGTGCACTAGAAAGAACGCCAGCCTGGGAGGTACAGGTTTGACTCATCGCTGTGACACACTTGTGTAAAACCTTCTCATTTTCCAGGCCTCCATTATATGTGGAAAACAAGGAGGCTGGACTAGATCCCCCAGGTCCTTCCAAGTGATAACATGCTATGAATTTCAGGCCCCACCATGCTTTTATTTCCTTGTTTCTCTAAAAGACAGACCTCTCTGGGGTGTGTGTGTGTGTGTGTGTGTGTGTGTGTGTGTAGAGAGAGAGAGAGGAGCCACTTCCTTTTGTTTTTCTCACCTCGTGAGTTGGCATTAAGGCACAGTGAGTATTATAAAATGCTACCATGAGTAACTGATAGACTGTAATATCTCATTTCCAAGGCCAACTTTTAAACAGAATAGAATAGCATAAAAGTAATCAATTGTGGAATTAAATGACAGGCTATGGATGGCCATTTAGGTCTCTCATGGCCCTATTTCACCTTTACTAGTAAGATCACTAGTACAGACAAAGTACAGGTGAAATACCGACTGCCAAAATTTTAATTCAACCGACACAGGGTATCCTCTGAATAAACTGCGAATAGTAAGGATATTTTCTTCACAAAAATCAAAGCATGCTAACGATGCAAAACTATGTAGTACACTAATAAAGTGCTTATCACTTTATTAAAAGCCAGGCGTGGCCACTGAAGAGTGAAAGAAAATATCTCTCCGACCCACGAAGATCAAGGAATTATACAACAAAAGCTTGTTTTTTCCAACCACTTGGAAATAAACCAAGATATTTCCAAGGATTTTGTTATCTCCTGTGTTTCTATGGACTTATTTAGTGTTTTTGTATGTTACTATTTCCCTGTTTTGCTGGTGACAGCTAAATGTCAGATGCTCTCTGAGCAGTGCTAACTGCCTCTTTCATGTCAACCTCAAACACCTTACAAGGCAGGCAGGTCCTGGGTAACTGTACTGGTCTGACAGGAAGGAAATCCTGTCTATTACAAAAAGTGAAGCTTTCTTCTTCCTTTTAAATAAAACTTTGCTTATTAGAAACTCAGTACATGTTAGCTATATAAAACATTAGAAAATGTAAGTAAGCAAAAAGAAAGCTAAAGAACCGCTCAGCATCCCACATCCAGAAACCAGCTGGTAACTGGATAGCAGATTCCTTCTTATGTTCGTTTTTGACAAATGGGAACATTTATACTCCTTAGAATTTTTTAACTTAAAATACTGAAAACATTTCCCACATACTTAATCACTACTCTACAATATCCCTTTTCATGACTGCATAGTCCAGTGACCACTGCAGCAAACCCACCACCACTGCTGCGCTTTGGGGGAGTGTCTCAAATGCTCACTAGTAAAGCAGCTTCCCAAGCCGTCCACCCCCCACAGTAACTGCAACGCTAACTCTAACTCCTCCATGTTCACCTGGGGACAGAAGCCTGATGTCACAATGCTCCTTCTGTGGGGGTCAATACCAACCTGACAGCACGGAGAGGCGGCCAGGATGTCGTAGGTATACATGGTGCCCAGCTGGTGCCAGCTGCCGTCCCACCGCGACTTACACTTGATGCAGATGATCTTGTGAACCCCCTCCAGGCAGTCCACGCACACTGCGTACAGGTGCATGAGTCTCCCTGTGCACAGAGACACAATGCTGAGCTGAGGGTGGCCATCGAGGAAATCCCCTTTTGTCGCCAAAGGGGGTTAAACATTGGCGCATCTATCAATTATAAGCAAACATTTTATCATTTGGATAAATATAAAAAGCAAAGTAGGTATCACATGTCCCCAAGTTGTCCTTCTGGAATAATGATAAATTCCACCTACTGTCAATGGAGTATGTACTTTAAGTTCGATATTTAAGTTTAAATATTGCTTCAATTCACTTTTCCAAAAAATGCTGCCAGATGGCCAATACAGACATCCAAACGCGAATGACCAAGCCTCAGGTGCACAGAACCAGCCTGTGGCCAACAGGACTTTCTGCACAGAAGCCTACATGTGGCACACACAGACTGGACCAGCAACACTGGTCTGTACTCCTGGGCTCTCTCACCCATTATCAGGTCCCATGATAAAGTCAGAAGTCTGTCCTGGCACTGGGAGCCCAGAATTATACCACAGCCAGAATTGCTATGTTAACTGTCCTTGTCCTCAAAATTACTCGGCCATCACCACATCTAATTTAGGAACCAGAATTATATCTTACTTGTAAGTGGTATTTTAAAAGGAGTTCAATGTCTTGTTATTTACTGGGCTCTTAAAAGCCACATCCCCATTCCTCCATTAGTTATTAACACCTAAAAAAATGCCACCCAGTTTATATGGAAGGCTTAGGCTGGGGTTCAATCATTGGGAAAGAGAAAGAATGTACAGGATCTGCTGGAGTGATGAAGTTCACTGTGCTAGTAACTACCATCAGGAGCACAGCTGCTCCTAAGTGGCTTCGTATTCAAAATGTGCTGTTCGCTGCCTTCAGCCAGACCATGGCCCATCACGCTCCTTAAGCAGGAGAAGGGTGCACAGTAGTTCAGAGATCCCTTTTACAGCATTTTGTCTCCTCTTTGAGGACTAGGTCTTACTCATCCTTGTAGGCAGAGTCTAGCATAGTGCCTGAAATGTGGAAAGCACTCCACAATTGTATGTTGAATGAATGGATGGGGCATTTCAATAGCCAAAGACAATACACCCTTGGGGGCCTCCATGTCAAAACTGGGAAGGGTGGTGTGAGCTTCTGGCAATACTGTCCACCCCTGCTCTAGGGCACTGAAAATAAAAGGTCGCACATACCATCCCCAGAGTGGCCCGGGAACATTTCAGGATGTTAATTCAAGCATCCAGAAGATTCTAGATAACACTTCATCCCCAGTTTCCCTCCTGCATTTACTGTAATTCTCAACTATGCAGACACACAGGCAGCTGCTAGGAAGGGTCGGGGCAGGGACAGACAAAGGTCAGGTGTTGGTAGCAATGACCCTAATGATGAAGTTGACAGGGAGCTTTTGCTGAGGGCTTACCAAGGGTCTGGCACTGTTCTATGAAGCAACCTGAAGCACTGCACTTACTAGTAACTCTCACAACAACCCTATAAAGAAGCTATTATTGTTATTCCCATTCAGATAGGAGGAAGTGAAACTGAGAGAGTTTGAGTGGCTGGCCCGCGTTCATGAAGATAATGAGCAGCAAAATCCAGACTTCAATTCACATCTGCCTGACTCTTAACCGCTGGATAAACTCCTGGTGTGGACTGAGTCTCTGGATTTGTTTCAGTTACTATTATACATTGTCCTAAATACAGAGAAGTTTACATTTCTGAACCCTAGGGTTGTGAGATCGAGCAGAAAGTGGAGATTCCTGAGAGAACCTGTGGTTCTAAGTGGAAAAGAAGTGCAATAAAAACTTCCTCATTAGATCAGTCTTAACAAATACTCAAGTCAAACAAAAATACCTAATCAGAGGAAGAGCCAGAGAACAGAGGCTAGAGCTGGAGCTGGAGGCTGGGGAGGGCAGTGAGGGGTAAAGGGCATGGAGAAGGGGTGACCATCCATACGCCAGCACTGAAAGTAACAGTTATTTCAGCAGCATATAATTAGCTGCAGCCAGGAACCTGTGGCCTGGAACGTGGCCTTTCTACTGGAGTTGAAAATGCTGTGAGGAATACATGGCTGGGACTCTGATGGCAGAAATGATTTACACTCGTTTGCTATAAAAAGGACTGCATGGATTTCTCCCAGATGTGACAATAACAACACTGACACATGTCAAGGCCCCCCAGAGAACATGACGGACGTGACAGAGCTCTTTATTATAGCTTGAAAGTGCACCTACAACCTGTTCTCCATCTGTGCTACTCATTCTCCACTCTAGAACCTCTGCTCAACCAAATGGTCCTCTCCAGCTTTCTCACTGCCTCATTTTTTTAAACCACTATTCCTTTGCATACTGCTTCCTCTCCTTAGCAACAATCACCTGGTGTGGCTAGGACCTCTACCTAAAGTCAGTCCTCCTTTTGATATATACCTTCACATTGCCTCTGACTACGCAGGCCAAAAGGGCCCCTTGTTCCCTGGAAATTACAGGACGCTTAATGTACGTAATAGCCAGATGTTACTAGGTCCCCTTGTGGCACTAGAGCCATAGGACAGGGAATTAGCTATATTTTTATAAAAGCATCATACATCCTAAGGTTATAAACCGATAAAAGGTAAGAGCCAAGAGTACCCAGCACATGAAATTCATAAGTTTGATTGGCTGATGAATGAATTAAATGAAAAGAATTTGTCCATCATGAATGGAAAAAGAACACTACTACTCTCATGTACCCTCCACCCTTGTACCCTCATTCATCTTCATAAAGAAATTTCCAGCCTAAAAATGGCGACTAAAGGTGTTTCAACTTACTATCCTCTAATATTATCCCCAAACAGTATGAAGAACAAGAAAATCACAAAAACTCCATCTTCTGTGAAACTAAGAGGTATCTCAAACCTGAACCAGACTATGAGGCCAGAAGTTGGATGGAGGAATGGTAAATGGTTTACCTTCAAACTGGACAGCGAGCACAGGGAGAGTGGAAAGAAGTGCTGAAAGGGAACGAGTCGGGTAAACAAGTAATCAATAGACTATACAGCTTTTCCCATCAAGAAGCAGAGTCTATTTCATCATCCCCTGAATCTGGGCTAGTCTTACAACTTGTTTTGATGAACAAAATGTAATGTTACTCAGGTCCACGCTTAACTTTCTCCCTCCTGGGAACGCCATGTGGAAAGCACAGGCAAGCCCACTGGGAGGTGAAAGGCACTACAGAATAGGGATGGGCAATTCCAGCTGAGGCTTCCGAAGCCAACTAGCCTGCCAACTGTTAGATGTGTGGGAGAAGCCATCCTAACAAACAATCCATAGAACTGTGAGAAATTATAAATCACCAGTTTTAAACCACTAAGCTTTGGAGTGTTTTGCTTTATAACAAAGGCCAAACGATACACAGGATTGGGTCAAACTCTAAAAAAATGCATGAGAACAATCCCTGCAACTTCAGCTTCCTACCCCACTGAGAAGGAAAAGAAATTGCATCCATGAAACAAGAACAGAATACTATTAAAAAGAGCTCTTAGAAATTATAAATATGAGAACAAAATCTTTAAACTCAGGAATATAAAGTCAAGGGAATCTTCCAGAAAGCAGAATTAAAATAGAGATGAACAATAGGGCCAAAATATAAATAATGAAGGTAAACCAAAAGTAATTTCCCCAAACTTAAGACCATAAGTTCACAAAGTCAAGAAAGCACCCTGTCCAATGAATGAAAAAAAGGAAGACCCACATCATGGTGAAAATGCAGAATGCTAGGGAGAAAGAGAAAATCTTAAAACCCTCGGGGGAATAAAGGAGGAGTAATATTAAATAATATTAGACTTCTCAATAGCAACACTGGAAGACAGGAGACAGTGAAGAAATGCCTTAGAAATTCTAAGGGAAAAATAACTGTAACTTGGAAAATTGTAACCAGCCAAACAGCAACTGAGAAGATAGACTCAAGATATCATTACACTTTCAAAATCTTAAAACATCTATTTATATGCTCCCTTTCTCAGAAAACTCATAGGGGATATTTACCAAGTTGAGGGAATAAACCAAGGAAAAAGAAAATGTGGAGTCCGGGAAACAGAAGATAAAAAATAAGAAAGAATTACAGAAATTCCTAGGAGGGCAACTATGTAGTATAGCAGGTATTGCATGCACAAGGACAGACAGGAGCAAGAAGATGAAAGGTTCCATGAGGGAAATTTCTAGGGAAAAAATCCATAAAATGTCAGAGGTATGTGGAAATGTTTTCGAAAGGCGGTTTGTATTGCTGCTGGAGAATGAGAACAATCAGCCAAAGATTCAAAAAAGGCTAAGCAAATGGAACACGAAGCAATTATTCACTTCAACAAAAATAAGAGGTACTTCTATATAGGAAATATAAGTACCTATACATCTTGGCTCAATACTAAATATTTCCATACTAATGGTTTTAAAAAAAAAAAACAAAACCATTAAGGATTATCCAAGAATCCTATGTAATAAAACCCTAATATGCAAATCAACCTAACAGCAGAATGACCGGTCACTATGATGCACACTGACCACCAGGGGAAAGACGCTCAACGCAGGAGCTGCCCCCTGGTGGTCACTGTGCTCCCACAAGGGGAGCACGGATCAGTAAGAAGCCAGGCTCACAGCTGGCGAGCACAGCAGTGGTGGTGGGAACCTCTCCTGCCTCCACAGCAGCGCTAAGGACGTCCGACTGCCTGGGGGGAGCAGGCCCAAGCCATCAGCCGGACTTCCCCCAAGGGCTCCCAGACTGCAAGAGGGCACAGGCCAGGCTGAGGGACCCGCCCGAGTGCACAAATTTTGTGCACCAGGCCTCTAATTGTGATATATTATCCTGAGACAAAGGGTCAATATGTATCTAAAATTGGGAGAATGAAGATAACAGTTTTAAAATATGATGACAAAAACCTGAAGAATCACATAAGATTTAAAAGTCTCTGGGAACTCAGATAGCAGGGATTGGTAAGAAGAAGACAGGTGGGGATGTCATTTTCACTACAGGCCTTTTTAACACACTTTTTAAGTTATAAAGACATATGATATGCATCCCATCTTTACATAAAGTCAGCAGTGTTACATGCATTGACAGACTGCTCACCTCTGCCATTCAACATACGGTTGAAATGTCCCTAAGTCTTTTTATGTCATCCACAGCATTAATAAGCTCCCACCCACCACCACCAAGGTAATATCTGAGTCTCCAATAATCCTCCACGTTCCTTTTGTTGCTATCAAGAAAGTCTCACCCTAACCGGCTTGGCTCAGTGGATAGAGCGTCGGCCTGTGGACTGAAAGGTCCCAGGTTCGATTCCGGTCAAGGGGCATGTACCTTTGTTGCGGGCACATCCCCAGTGGGGAGTGTGCAGGAGGCAGCTGATCGATGTTTCTCTCTCATCGATGTTTCTAACTCTCTCTCTCTCACTTTTCCTCTCTGTAAGAAATTAATGAAATATATTTATAAAAAAAAAAGTCTCATCTTTCATAAATGTCAAGATTAATTCAAATAATCTAAAAACACCCTGACCCTCACCAAGCCCTACTTTCATATGCTTACAAGGATCAAAGAGAATACTAGTACATATCTTGCTGGGCACATTAACACAGGTTTCAAAGGCAACTATTTCACAGTGAGTGACATTTTTATGCAATTTCTTCTCTTAAATTTCCTCCCAATTATGAAGAACTATACACCAGGAATCCTCTCTTCAAACTGCAATAGAACAAACACATGAAATTACCCACCAGGACAACTGTTCTAGGGGCACAGTGACATTGGAGTAAAGCAGACCTCCACCACCTCCACCACCTCCCTGGCAAAGCGGAAATATTCACATGTGACCTAGCCCCTGACTAGAACAAGAAAGCACTATCAGTTAACACTGAGCCAGAACAGAGGCGGCCCATCTTGTTTGCTTTCCAGCTCTCCACAAACAGAAAGCAGGCAAGGTGGATGAACACCTGTACCTTGAAGGTGACAAGGAACATCATATTCAATCTCATCGTGTCTCGATGGGCTTAGGAACAGAGTTCCGTCCACCAGTGGGAACTGTTCGAACACCGGGAGCGCCCGGTGGCATAGGGCACAGTTTACAATGTTTCTGTGGCTGGCACTGAGGGCCGCAAGAATGAACTTGCGCAGATCCTCGCCCTGGCCCATTTGGGCATCGTCTTCCATCCGCACGTGGAAAGTGTTCAACTTATGCCTGGGGATGTGGGTGAGGAGCTCAGAGAGGTCCAGCCGCCGCAGGAACTGAACGGGAGTGTCAAAGTGGCCGCCCCTGTGAACTGATAACCCGCCCGGACTGTAATCAAAGTGGGCATTTCGGAACACATGGCCCCCGGCCATGGCCTTTTTGTGAGGCTCAAGATGGATGGCGTTCTTTAAGAATTCCCCAAGATATCTGGAGGAGCGGGGGCCGCTGAAGTGGGCAGGGGAGAGGATGGAATAGCCGGTGGGCGGGGACTGGCCAGGGGAGCCGCAGGGGGAGCGGCCCCCGTAGGCCCCAGCGCTGACCGCCTTCTCTTGGGAGTTCTGCCGGTCCATGGAATGCCGGCGGGGGAGGTCATGGTTCAGGCCTTTCTGGGGCTTGTTCGGGGGCCTGCACTTTTTAGCCTCCTCCACCACCTCGCCGGGAGGCCTCCCTGTGTTCTTCTCCGACCCTGACTTCTTCTTCTTCTCGTCCTGCATCCGCTTCACCTGGTACCAGTCCGTGTCCTTCTTCAAGTGGCCCTGTCCACAGCGGCAGGAGCAGAAGCGGAAGGCCAGGTCGTAGCCCTTCTTGGTCCACATGTTCTGGCGGCACTGCTTCTCGTTCCAGCTGCGGGCCCGGCCGATGCAGTTGAACTGGACCAGGATGCTGCTCTCCCACTCGTAGAAGCACTGCAGGTGCATCCAGCTGCTGTGGGGGCAGTGCTCGTTGTTGCACACCACCTTCTGGTAGTCGTCCTTCTCCAGGTCCACCGGCCTCCCGAAGCTGCAGATCAGGGGCGTGGCACAAGGGGCTTCTGGGGAGAAACACAAAAGAGACATTCAGCCCACAGGACGAGGGGTTCCCAGCTGACACCACGTCAGAGATCAAATCCCACAGGAGCCCATTCATGCCAAAGGTACAATTTTTCTGGCATCAAGATTTCCACCAGGATTTATGGAGATTGGCGTTCCACTGGGTTCCTGCTATTTCAACGTCCATAATGTTTCAACAGGCCCCTCTGAAGGCTTGTTCTGCTCCCAGGTGGGAACCACTGAGCTTGATCACAAAAGTTCCACATGCCATGCTTGGGTTAGTTATCTGTTGTAGCTGAGAAGCTAAATGAGGACTCTAAGCCACAGAGCCCCTCGGCAGAGCTGTTTTAGAAATCTCACCCTGGTGGCAGTGTGGGACGTGAGGCTGGAAGCTGGGAGGCCAGAGGAAGGGGGCAGGGCGTGCAGTAACCCAGGTGAGAAATGACAAGGGTCTGGGCTAGACAGCAGCAAGTGACTCCCAGTGTTGAAGATGAGCAGACGCTGATGGACGACGAGGGACAGGTTTGAAAGAAGACTTGGGGCTGGCCTGGTCTGGGCCTGCTGAATTGGAAGGGCTTGTGCACCACCGAGGTGGAGAAAGATGTGAATGGAGTTCAAGAGAGCTGGCGCTGTGGATACAGATGTGGAGCCATGCAACCAGCCAGGGAGGTGTAATCCTGGAATGTGAGGGGTGGAAAAGAATCCTGGGAAGCGACATTAAAAGGCTGGAGAAGAGTTCTCCACAGAGACTGGTAAGGAATGAACTGAGAACTCACTGGACTAGTCAGGAGAGAGTTCTATCAGGGAAGTCAGATGAGGTCTAAGAACAGGGGACTGGGACTGTCCCAGTGTGCCAGGTAAGATCAGTGTTTCTTACTCTGCACTACCCTGGACATTTGGAGCTGGACAATTCTTTGTTCTGGGAATGTCCTGTGCACTGCTGATGTTTAGCAGCACCCCTACTAAATGCCAGTCACACCACCCCCCTCAACTGTGACACCCCAAAAGGTCTCCAGTCGTTGCCAGATATCCCCTGCAAGCAGAATCACCCCCAGTTGGGAACTGCTGGGGAAGGCAAAGATGGAGAGGTCCTCCCCAGGATGAGCAGTGAGCCAGTCACTGACGCCTTAGGAAGGACAGTTCTGGTGCGATGATGGGGGACAGGTGCGGTAAAAAAGCAGCAGCAGTACAGATGAACCTCCAGATAGGCTTAACCACAAGTATAACTGTGGAAGGAAGGAAAGAGGATGGGCAGGGTACACAAAGGCTGAGGCACAAGTACGTTCCTCAACTGGGGCAATAAATGCCGAGAACTCAGGGCAGCTTGAAGATCAGAAGAGGGAGCAAGCTACCAAAAACCTCAACCTCAGCACTGCCCATTGAATTACAAATTCTATTTATCCCACCAAGCATCCCACTCAGCAAAACGGCCCTAACCAACTTGTCTCCGTCCATGCCTGCGACCACTGTGGCCTCCCCATCTACCTCCTGGGAATCCACAATCCTTAATCTTCATTGGTCCAAATCCCACTCCCCTCGTGTAGCAATTCACAGTATGGGCTCTGCAACCAGACTGCCTGAGCTGGAATCCCAACAGCACCACGGATGAGCTGTGAGCTCACGGAAGTTACTTAACTTTTCTTTGTGTCCGTTTTCTGTGTACCTTACACGGTGGTCATAAAGATGAACTATACCCATTCACAGGTGGTGCTTAGAGCAGGGCCTGGCACAAATAACCCTCATCCCCTGCTTTCCAACCTTCAAGGTCTACCTCTAGGCACCAATGTCACCAGGACTCCCCTTTTCCCCTACACCCTGACCCCCACCAGCGCAGTCTGGTCTGAACCTTACTTGAGTCCCCATTCTGGTCCCCACCAGGTGATGACTCAGGAGAAGACATCTCTGACTCGCCTTTGTGTTCCTGGTACCACTGGCCCAGGCCATACACACATGCAGTGCCAAATACAGTTGCATTAAAATGACACTGGCACATGAAAACCTATGTGACAAGCAAAGCAGAGGAAGAGAGATCTGCAATCCTAGACAAAGAGAAAAGGCCTGAATGTACAGAAAAGAAGTAGAAGAAGAGAGTGGTTTGCAAACTGAGTAAATTAACTAGTCACGAGTTCTATGACCTTTAAAATGTTAATGAGTGAATTAAACAAAGTTAAGTTGCTTTTATCTTAAGTCCTTCAGAGGAAGAGGCTTGAAGAGATGTCTCTGAAATAGAATGGCAGTTATCAGAGTGATATTAACCCAAGACTAATGAAATCAAATTTAAAAAGGCCCTAACTATACTTTGCATTCATACTATCCAAAATTTAAAAATTTAAATGTTAAGACTGACTTGATATTTCTTTAAAAGGTATTGTCACATAAAAAAAAGGTTGACTAAAAATCCTACTTGTAAATACGGGAAAAAATCCTATTTATATCTTTCCCAAAAAGCTGCAAATGTATCACTAAACCAATACTGAGCACTTCCTGCGTACCAGGTCTTAGAAGCAGGAAAGACAGCAAATCCTGCTGAGAACTCTAAACCAGCGGTTCTCAACCTGTGGGTCTCGACCCCTTGGGGGTCGAACGACTCTATCACAGGGGTCCCCTAAGACCATCGGAAAACACATATATAATTACATATTGTTTTTGTGATTAATCACTAGGCTTTAATTATGTTCAATTTGTAACAATGAAAATACATCCTGCATATCAGATATTTACCTTATGATTCATAATAGTAGCAAAATTACAGTTATGAAGTAGCAACAAAAATAATTTTATGGTTGGGGGTCACCACAACATGAGGAACTGTATTAAGGGTCGCGGCACTAGGAAGGTTGAGAACCACTGCTCTAACAGAAGTATATGCCTGGATCACAGAGAAGGAAACACTCCAAGTCCCTGTCCCTGTAGCCTGGTCTGTGATCACCACAGCCATCCTCACCAGCTTTCTACCCTCCAAGACCCACAGCGAGGAGTCCCCACCCCAACCTGCCAGCCCTGCTTGTTTACAGCTCTGCCACTTTGATGTGGCCTTGTGGCTAGACCTCAAAAACAAAGACAAAGCCAAGGGCTTGTTTAATACCAAATACTTTGTGCAACAGACACCTCCCCCTGTTACACACCTCCAGGATAAGGGCAAGGCTCCTAGGATTAGGTGAGTCACAGGGTGGGCCTTGGGAACAGCAGAGAACTGCTGACAAGGCTTCTACATCTCACACAGCATTCTGAGGAGTAGGCTGACCTCTACCCTCAAAGACATGGTTTCCTTTGAAGTTTGGTTCTTAATTCCCTGCCTGGTTCCCCTCTCCCTCCCCCTGTCTACACTGCAGAGGCATCTAGAAGGTGCCTAGTTGTGATACAAATAATACAGTAAGTGATAAATAATAATGCAAGATTAAACTCTGTGTTTCGTGTACTCACAACTATAAACCTACTTCTGCCTACTCCTGTAAATGTGGAAACACACTGTAAACTGTCAAGTTGCATAAAAACCTTTCTCTGCTATCTTCAGCATAACTGTACACCTGTGTACCTGGCTCCCCAACTAAATGCAAATTGCTCAAACATATTTGCTACTTTTTCTATCTAATGTTTTAGATACACAACAGGTGTTTAGAAAGTCAGTAAATAAATGAATAATGCCATGCCTTTTTAAAAATTTCCTAAATAACCAAAACATCTAGGAAAAGACTTTGTAACTGTAAGAAACAGCAGTGGTGGCATTCAAAATGGCACGTGAGAAATTAGCAGTATTACCGAAACATTGGATTGCTTCCTGAAAGCTGTCTCTAACTTTACAAAAACCCCAGCTCTTAAGAATAGCTGTCCCACAAAAGGAATACAGGTTGATATGACACAACTAAACCTTAAATGGGGGAGCAGGTGAGAGGGGAGAAGTTAATCCCATGTTGACCAGGGCTTGTGCCACATACATCCCTTGGGACATTAGTCTAAGCCGTGATAGCCTTAATAACAAGCAATATGGGAAAATGTTCCTTTATGCAGTGTCAGCGATTTTTGAAAATGTACATAAGCCCTCAGTGCCAGTTTTTACAGCTTCACCCTCAAATATTCGGTATTCAGCATCTATTTGTCTCTGCCCAAGTAAAAATAATCAGGGCTCACCTCATCCTGGGCAGCAATCTCAAATAGTTTGAAGTCTGGACAACAGGATGACTAGGCTGAGGTCACGAGGGCAAAGTCTGTCACTCTCCCCAGCCTTCACATCCTCTACCTCTGCCCCCACCTATTAAAAGGGGAGTATCTGCCAGTAATCATTTATACTGACTGCCCAACAAACACAATCCCCTTGACAAACGTGCTCACACTAACAAGCACTGTAAGCCAGGCGAGGCCATCTTCAGCTTTTTACCCATAAAATTAAATGTTTCGCCCCTCTTAAAACAGTTGCAAGCATCGGGTAGGGAGTTTGGCAGGGAAGAGGGGTGAGGTGGGGACTTGGACCTACTCATCCTTGTAAACCCACTACTGTGAAAATCATATTAGTGTTTCATAAATGTCTTGTGGAAGAAAATTATCGCCCAATCAGATTCAGTACTCCAGGTGACCGCACGCTGGAGAACACAGCCTGACTAGGTCCAGATGAGCTCTCAACAGACCTCCTAGACCACTGGTTGAGGGGTCGAATGATCCTTTCACAGGGGTTACCTAAGGCCATCGGAAAACACATATATAATTACATATTGTTTTTGTGATTAATCACTATGCTTTAATTATGTTCAATTTGTAACAATGAAAATACATCCTACATATCAGATATTTACATGACGATTCATAACAGTAGCAAAATTAAAGTTATGAAGTAGCAACGAAAATAATTTTATGGTTGAGTCACAACATGAGGAACTGTATTAAAGGGTCGCGGCATTAGGAAGGTTGAGAACCACTGTATTACACTCAATCCTGAAATTCTTTTTGGGGCAGAGCCTGGCCCTCTTCCTCACTTCCTCAAACTTAACCTAATCTATTCCATTCTCCT